AAGACTGAACTTTGGAGGTGTGGAAAAATATCCCTGCAGGTTTCTCTGAAAAACTGAAAGTGAGTCTCCTGAAAAAAGAAGCTGTAATAAAGGTAAAGAGTGGACACATTAATACTTCTGTGTATTTTCTTGTCAAATGTTTTTTCTTCTGTAGGTGAAAAATTAAAAATTGTACTTAATTAGTTATTTTGACTGGAAATGAAGTAAATAAAGTGTGATCTCTGACTTTTGAACAGTGCTCGTTTGATTGGGTAATTTTAAAGTGTTTGCAAGCCTGTCGTGCGTTTGTGCGCGTGTGTGTGTGTGTGTGTGTGCGCGTGTGTGCGTGCACCTGAGGCACCTGAGGCCACGGTGTCGGAGTTGTGCAGTGCTGCCACTGATGACACCCAGTTGGGCTCTTCCAGCCCGGCGCTGCCATGGAGACCATGGGCCTGCTTCACCTTGCTCACCGGCCTCTTCTTGTTCACAGACCAGATGCACACACAGCTACACAAACACAGACGGAGTCATACAGACTTCTGTTAACCACAACAACAGCTTTTAAAATGTAAAGTATAGAGAATAATTCCACTACAGTGATACGGCTAAAAATATAATGCTAACTGGAAGCTCAAACTTTCATTCACTGTTTGCCTTGTTTAAGAACCACAGACAGCCTTTAAACGGCCCATACAGCAGAAAACTCAATTTTCACTTTTTCTGAAATGAAATAGTTTGATGTAGTACATCAAAATACTGTCCACTGCCTAGTTTATAGTCTACAGTACAGCCTATAGACACCTATAGTCAACAGTCCATACATGGAAACTAAGCTGCCCGGTTTTAATTCATTCTATCTGTGATGCCATAAAACCATTCACATACATCCACTAATCCAGCTGAAGTTATAAGGAGCGTTTCAGCCAGGACTGCTTTCTGAATGACGCGCAATACAGGGCAGCCATTTACATATATCAGTCTTAAAGGCACAGCAACAAAAACAGTCTGTTTAATTCTAAATAATTACAATGTAAAGCTGAATTATGACTGTTTGAGCACAATCATGACATCAGTGAGAAAAATAAAGATATTAGATAACTGTAGTACATGGGCCATTTAAAAGTGTTCAGAGACAAGAACTACAGTTAAAGTGCTACATAAACTTCAACTGAAATCAATGAATTTGACTTCATACCCGTCGTCACCACCTGAAACCATGTGTTCTTCGTTTATGAGCTGAATACAATCGATGGAGCCCCTTTAGATACAGACAGAGAGAGAAAAGAGCAAAGGGGGGGAAATAAACAGAAATACATGTAGTCACTTCGTTTTAAATCACAGGACGATCTGACCGAACGAGAGTCAATCTTAGCCTTCCGATCGGGCTCTGGAGTGATCAGAGATCCTCTGATATTTTCAAACCTGTTTGACTTTTACGATTTGAAACGTTCACAGGTCCGGTAGTGCAAGAGGGTCAGCGAGGTAACTGAATGAGTAATTCGGACAACAGCCAATGAGAGCTGAGAAAAACGCTGAAGAGATACAAGCATGCATTCTACTACGCGAGCAGCCAAGACTGAGGAGCTGCTTATTGAGTTCAGAGCAAAATCAATACTCTCTTTACAATTTCAGTTCAGCAGCCAGTTTGTGGCCAAATATTTCTCCAGTTCTGACTGTGACACCTGCGTTTCAACCCCATATTCATCCCCAGTTTGCATGTTCGCTAGGTTTCTTGCGCATGCATGAAAACACAAGCAGGTCCAGTTTAGTTTAGCTTTGTTTGTATCAAATGATAGCATGCGGGTTCTGGGGTTCTGAGTGCTTTTTGTAGCAGAAACGTATGGTGCGTGTTGTGCTCTCTCCTGTGCCTCACTGTTTGGTGTACATGTCCTCACAACAAAACAGAAGAAATGCTGTTAAAGACAGACATCAAGAGTGCGATGCTCTCAGTTTTTGAAATCTGTTTAAAAAGCTGTGTAAAGGGCTCCCAAGTGGCACAACTGTGTAAGCGTTGGCTCTATTATCAGGAGATCTGTGGCCGGGAGTCCTAGAGAACACATTTGGCCTGGTTCTCTGGGTGGGTAGTATTCCCCCGCAGCGCAGGGAGCGTGTTCGGCTGTCCAATGACGTTGCGTGAGCGGCACTTCAAAAAGATGCGGTGACGCTTCACAGGTCTCGGAGGACGCCTGTGCTAGCCTTCGCCCTCCTAGCGCTGGTGGTATCATGTGACTGGGGGAGTCTTAACTAGTGAGTTGGAATTGAATACGACTAATTTGGGAAGAAAACTGGGGAAAAATTAAAAAATAAAAAGTTGTGTAAAGTACACCTGATGTGTAAATGTCTGTCAACCAATTTTTGTGAATTAAGAATGATTAGATTTGATGCACTAAACAGTGCTTTGATTCAGTGCTTCGAATTAGCGATTCAAGCACCTTTAACAATTACTACAATGAACCGTTTTACATCAAACCACTCTCAATTACTTTGTATACATCTCACTGAATTATGCTGACATGTTGAAACTTTAAGTTCCACCGATTTAAGACAAAGCAGATGAGATGGTAGCAGCATCACTACAACCAGCAAAGCCATTTGTTTAACTACATTTGCTAGAAGTAGAGTGTTACCACATCAAGTAGCTTTCCAGAAGTATTTTATTGACCAATGACCACAGCAGCATTGATAAACATAACATGCTTTAATTTCCCTGAACTACAAACACACATTTTAGTCAAACAAGTCATGTATTCTGTGTTGTTTACTTGGAACCGACCCTTCGCTAAGACCCTTATTCATTAGTTACATCTGACCAGCTTTCAAGCCCAGCATATCAACAACAGAGTTCTCATTTCACTCAATATTCATAATCATTTAGGATCAATGCTTTCAAATATACATTTGATGACTACATACATAATACTGTGATCTCTGAGCTTCACAGCACTAAAAAGACAAAGATTCACAAAGTCTCATCAAACAGCAATCCATGTAAATCAGTGGCTCACAGGCCTGGTCCTAGAGCACCCAGCGTTGTGCACACTTTCCTGCTCAAACAGCTCAGGAAGGGCTTATTAACTAGCCAATTAGTTGGATCAGGTGTATGGAGATCATATGCAGAGCCTCCAGGACAAGAGCGGAGAGCCACTGATGTAGATGAGATGGAAATGAAAGCGCAGCATTGCTTCTGTATCTGCAGGGTGAACGTCTGATTATATGAATTTTAAGTAAAACATTTAGACGAACTGTTAAACTGGCAGGTCATTACAATTTTAATTAGCATCATCAATCATGAAGCCTCTTCAGCTACTTTTGCCACATAGCTAAAGGGGAGATTTAATGTAGTTAAAGTGGAACAGACACACTGTCAAATGGTCTTGATCAATTTTCAACCCTCGAAATAAACACAAATCATGACATTATGCACTAGACTCTCAGAGATATTGCACTGTTTGATCCCAGAACCTTTAAAGCTTAATTCCTACATCTCCCAGAGTTCAGCTGAGGGGGGTGTGGCTCTATAAGCACAGCACAGGCATGGCCACACCCTCTTATCTACAGCTATTTCCTTAGCTATGCTAACTTTAATAAAGATCTAGTTCAGTCGGTCAATTCACATTCTGGCATGCTGTTGAGGGATAAGCAGGAATACGCCACACTGCTGCTGCTGTAAGTGACAAAAACGGTCATTTGAACTGAGAAACACTTGCGTGTATTTTAAAACACTTCAAGCCGAAGGATTTCATGAAGGATGTTTGGATTTTTGAACCGGCATCAAATCCGGACTGAAAAGGCTGGGCTTCTGAATCAGTGAACTCAGGATTTCTGTGGACACTCGACAGAAACAGAAAACCAGAGCTTGCTTTGTAATTTTTCATTCATAAGCCGACCTCCTAGACACCAGTGTGTGCTTTTTGTGCTGTAGCCACAATGCTCTCTCTTCCATCACATCCAGTGTGAAGTCATATTGTTTTCTGGTCATTCCACATTCCCTGTTGGTAAGACTGGACGGTTACAGATAAACTGAGTGACTAGGGAGTATATTGTTGGTCATTTCTGGAAGATGAGTCCTGACTCTCAATACATGACCAAAGACATCCCTGGTCTGTTTTTTCTCCCCTTTTTTTTCTCTTAAACGACTTTGACAGTAAAAAAATGTCTTTCAAACCTCTGGCATGACGCAGCACCTTCTTATGTTTAAAAACAGCCAAATGTGACAGTTCTGCCAGAATATCTAGTACCTTAGCTAGCTAGTTATTTTATCTAACTTGACCAACAATGGATGGGAGGATGAGAAGTGATGGGAAATAAGGAGAGAGGAGAGACTCACTCATGACCGTGAAAGACGAGCTGGGACTCCTCTGCGATTTTCCACACTCTGATCGTTCTGTCCCGCCCCCCGGCCGTCACACACCGCTCACGGCCCAGGCAGTCCAGACCTGTGATCACATCCTGATGGCCAAACCTAAAGAGAGACAAGCACGTGTACACATGTATAACAGATTCACACAAAAGAAGCTCCATGCAATGAGATTATAGTTTGTTTTAGCTATAATCCTAAACCAGAGAAATCCCGGCATCAAGACAATATCAGCAGAAAATACTGGTTTGGATATCGGAGGGAAAAATGAATGAATCTGATCCAACCTTGTAAGAAATTAACCCTGAAATTGCACTTATTCACTGTGTGACTTCATCTTGTGAGCTATGCATTTGATCCTGTGGAGTGTTTAGTCAGACCATGAACACCTACTTTTAGATGTTCATCTCATTTTAGCACAGCTCATTTTAAGGTTTAGTAGATTTTAGATGCCAAGCACCTCAGGGACCTGGCTTGTAAATCACTCACTCACTCTCGTTTATCAAGGCTGAAAACTCTTCCAAAGGGGCAGCTACTGGCACTCAAAGAGCTTCTGGTGCTTTATAAAAACAGTGCTTTGCATTAATGACCTGGTGCGTCTTTGCTAAAAGCTAAAATATCAGATTGGTGTCAGTCGACACTCAGGATTTTGATATAGGAATCGGTACTAGAAAAGAAACTGCCATTTCAAACCCAAGCCCTGATGCTCAGGCTGAGGATCTGTACTCACAGAGTTTCTACATAAGCGTTCTCATCCACATTCCACACTTTGACCGAGCGGTCATGGGAGGCACTGTACAGGTCATGTGTTCCTCTCCTGAAGGCCAAACCCTGAAAGATGAACAAATACAACCACAAATACAATGATGTAGTATAAATACAATTAAGCATGCGCTGAAGAGTTTTACATCATCTAAACCGCTTATTCTTCTGGGTCACGGTGGGGTGCTGGAGCCTATCCCAGCTGTCATTGGGCGGAAGGCAGGATACATGTATGTATGTATGCATGTATGAAAATTTTTAGCTTAAAATAATTAAAAAGGCAATTTGGGTTCTTGGCCAAAAGAGAAAAAACAGTGAAAATGTTGACTGAAAAAAAGTGTCAAATCTATAACTTTATAAATAATTTTAATGATACTAAAAATGAGAAATACTAAAAAAATGAGACCCAGACGTGTTGAAACAGTCTGAGTTGCAACAGATCAACAGTGAAAGCATCAGCCGCATGGAACTATTTCACTGTTTCTACGAGGGACATCAGACATGAGGTTTAATCGCTGTTCAAATGAAGTATCAACCTCTCCACTACAGGTTTGATAACACTTGAAAACTGCTTGATATGCAAAATACAGAACAACAGAAGCAAAAAGGAAAGTCCCTGTAAGAATGTCAACACCAATCATATCCTTAGTTTTTAAAATTACAAAAACTAACAGCAGCGCCAAAGTGCAAAGTATAGCTAAAAAATGCTAAAATGCACTGCCTTGGATGACCAAGGTGATACTCTATAGGCACGTACTGTAGTCTACACACTATACACGTTTATTTTCTCTAAACTGTTGTTCTTCGTCAGTTTTTTTTTCAGCCAAGCGTGCCCTGCCTGTCAGTTTCAGCCAAGAATTTTCATTTCAGTGCAGTGGAATCACAATAATATAACACAAAACGCAAATGGACAAACATAGTTCAGAGAAATGACAGTGGAATTACAGTTAGTAAGTAGTTAGTAGTAACATCTCAGTGTACAAACAAACAAGGAAATGAAATGAAATTTGTCAAAGCTAGAAAATTAAAATGAATGAATCACCAACAGAAACAGCTAAAGAGAGAAACAATGTCTTTCACAACAGAACAGACTCTCCTCACCGATACAGCATCTCTGTGTCCTGTGAACTTGTAGAGAAATTTACATGTAGCTGCTTCCCAAATCATGATCAGCTTGTTCATATCTCCCGTCGCCTGTGAAAGACAAATCCAGCGTTTAAACTCAGCACCGTAATGTGGCTCTAAGACACAATCAGAAAGAACTCAAGTGGAGGAGGCAGTGAAGGCTATAAGACAACAAGTGATGAGACGAACCAGGTTCATGTTCGCCTTTAAAATGGCTCAGTTGTGTACACTATGTGGCCAAAAGTTTGTGGACACCCCTCCTAATCATTGGGTTTAGGTGTTTCAGCTTTGCCTATTGCTAACAGGAGTGTAAAATACAGCACTTGCTAGCCAACTGTTGCTAAAACACTGTTAAAACAGCTGCATGTAAAATGTACCTGAACAGTTATTAAACACTTAGCAGTAAGAGAAACAGTGTTAGAGCAGCATTAACTATGAAAATAAGGGTATCAAGACAGCATAATATGGGGTTTTCAAAACATCAAATCAGGTCCAACAACACTACAGGTATCAGTTTAGAGTTAGTTACAATATACATAGATTTAAAAGCGCCATCAAGTCAATTTCCACTCCTGCTGACCAGATCGACAGCATTTGTCCAGAACATCCCACTTTCTGTTTGGGTTTCAGGCTTATTAATGATTTGTTTATGATTCCTCTGATTGTATTTATTCCTGTTGTTTCTGGCCCTCCTCTTTCTCTTTTACCTTCAACTGTCAAATGTCTATTCCAGCAAACTGGTTCTTCTCATATGTTTAAAAATTTAGCTTTAGTTTGGTTATCTGGGCTTCAGTGAGGGGGGTGTTTGATTTGGAAAACAATGTATATCACTGTTGTCGGAAGAAAACCTTGTGTCTCCAAAATGGTATCTTTACAGGAGAAGGAAAAAACATGCTTTGATTTTAATGTAAGTCAATGGAACCAGAATTTATTCCAAGTCATTTTGGGCCGTTTGTTTTAGTCCATTCATCATGAAATTTACACACAATGTGAAGGACAACAGGCACTTTCAGATGACAAAACCTGAAAAACGACGACAATGGAGATATGTTTATTTTCTTCACCATCCAAGGTTCTCTCAAGAGTCTTTCCCAGCACAAGTTCAAAGGCCTTCATATTTTTCCTGTCTTGTTCTTTACATCCTTAAAGACCAGAGCCTGGAAAATTCTGAAATTCATAGAGGAAAATCATAATATTTGAATACTGCAATCTGTGTCTATCTTCACTGCTGAATCCTTTGTTGTCAATAACCGATCCAGTTAGGCAAAAGCAGCCCATCACGTCCACATCTTCACCATCATAACCTTCATTTTCTTCATACTGAGCTGAAGTCCCATCTTTCCACCTTCCTTACAAGGATCTTCGGGTGTTTTGTCGTCCAGATACTGAAGGCTGCTGATGTTGAGGTTGTTCTAACACCTTCATACTCAACATTACATGGCTAGGATTAGGATTGAGGGCAAAAAACTTCAGGACATCCCTATAGATTACATGGAAGGCATCCAGACCAGAACGAGGCTCATTTTCACGCTTCTGCATAAACCGCTTTCCCTCACCAGGTATTTTCCGTCTGAAGAGATGGCCATGCAGAGGATGTGTGCTGTGTGGCCGACGTGCCGATCCTCCGTTCCCTTCCTTCCACCTGCAATCTTCTGCACCTTCTTCCCACTCTCCACCTCCCCTGCACACAAACACATTAAAACAAACACTGTAACCTCTACCCACGTGAGCAGAGGTCAGCAACCCAAATGTTAAGAAGAGCCATTTTATCCTTTCAATAAAAATCAAACCACCTTGGGAGCCACAACATTTCATGTCCATTTCACCATCTTGGCTGTAAATCTGTCTCAGTGTAAGCTAATGTCCTAGTATAGGCTAAAAAATATAACAAACAAAAACTCAGACTTACTTTGCTCTGCCTTAAGCTTTAGCTCAGCTATAGCCGCTTTTCTCACATCTCCAGCAGGAAACTTTGCCGCTAAAGTAGCTAAAATACTTTCTTGTAAAACGTCTCTCAATGTTCGACATTTTACGAGGCTGAAGTCACTTCTCATTCGCCAGCTTCCTGTACGAATTTTCCCGCTTCCATCTTACATGGTGCCTGTAACTGCTGCACTACGTAAGGCGGAACGAGAAAATTCGTACAAGAAGCTGGTGAATGAGAAGATGAATTCAGCTCCATGACTTTTTAGTGTTTGACAGTTTCTCGTTGCAGATTAAACGTATCAGGAAACCAGCTGGAGTGATTATAAATGCAAATTATCGATGTTATACTTGCAGTACAGCACAATGAAATTGTGAGCTGGGGTCAGCCATGATATAGAACCCCTGGAGCAGAGAGGATGAAGTGCCTTGCTCAAGGGCCCAACAGCAACTTGGGGGACCCGGGAATTGAACCCACAGGCCTGTAATCAATCGGCAGAGCTCTAACCACTAAGCCGACACTACCATAAGCTTATGACTAAATTAAAAAATATAACCTGGCACAAATATGACACGTTCTGAAGCTCATACGACACTCACATTTGATGATGGAGCAGTCTTTAGACGCGGAGAAGATGTATTTCTCATCTGGGGTGATGACCAGGCACGTGACGGACAGTTTGTGTCCTCTCAACAGCCTGATTTCTGCAGGATCCGGGGCTACAAGCTGGACACAAGGAGAACATAGAAACATTATGATGCATCCCTGCACCAGAGGCCTGTCTCATTAAGCACGTTCAGCTTCTACAGGGTTCCTGACTCAGCGTCAGCTTCACAAAAGCTAACAAATGCAGCCAAGCTTAATACTAAATAATTGACCCAGGATTAGATGCTAAAGCTGTTTCTAATCCTCACGCATGCAAACGTGAAACCATGTTTTTGACAAACAGTGAATCTCGTGAAACACGAGGAGTCGAGCAGCTTATGTAAGGAACGTAAGAATGAAAGGAATGTAAATATGTAGAACAGTGGGGTTTAACAATACACAAAATTATACGTCTTGCTATGATACATTTGTCAAATACAGCCAAATTAAGGAGTATCTGAATACACACTATGTACCATGAGCAATAGGGGTGCAACAATATACATATTCTCATATTTTATATTAATTAATGACTTTCGAGTCTGTATTCAGACTCAATTTGACCTTTTGATATTTTATGTATTCAAAGTATCTACATTCTACACTCTATAGAACTAGTTCTCAAATAACAACAATAATAATAATAATAACAATAATAATAACAACAACAACAGCAATAATCAATTTAATTTATATAGCACACTTTTCCTGACAATGTTAACTCAACAGAAAAATGAACCAAAACATAAAAACATGTCTAAAAAGAGTCTTAAGGTTCTACTGATCCTGAATTTCTTATAGAAAAAAATAGAAAAAAAACCAAAATCTCATCTAAAACTCATCTAAAATTAAAAGTCTTAAGATTCTTCTTAAAAGATCCAGAGATTCTTTGTGTAGTATTGTTTGTTTCCTCAGCTATAAAGGAATATTTTCCATGTGAGTGACTGCAAGTTCACGAAAATATGTGACTCGAAATGAACCAGAGGGGTCCACTTCCATCAGAAGGCTGCTCCTGATTGGTCAAAAAACTTGGTCTGATAGCTGTATATGATCCCAGATCCCAAATCCCAAACAACCCTGCCTTGGAGCACGTTAGGCATGCGCTATACACCAACATGGTGACAGAGCGCACTAAAAAGTGATCCAAAGTAAGCTTGAAGTTAACTCCCTCAGCAAGAAACCCTGCTTTGTGAGGCAGGGCAGTGCCTCGAGGACACAGTAAAGCTCAGAGGAAACGAACATCAGAAACTTCACTCACCTCTTTAGCTATCAGCCTCTGCAGCTTGCCTTTCTGCTCCAGCTGTTCGGAAGCACAGAAGTTAAAAAAGTTATAACATGGTTATAAAGCTGAGCAGAAGTATGTAAAAATACAAAACAACAGCTCATGATGTCGTACCACATCCTCCTGTAATCGTCCAGCAATCAGGTCTGACTCGAACTCCTCAGCCTCTGCCTTTTTCTCCTCTGCATCCAAAACACACACATTCAGCTTTAAAAGCATACTTAACAAAACCTGCAAGGCCGTAAGTGAGTGTGTTTACATGCACTTTATAACCTGACAACAGCAGAAAATCAGACTGTCATTAATCCAATCAACACATTCACATGCATTTGAGTAATCAGATAGTAGGGAAACTCCAGGTCTACATGAGTCAGACAGTAATCAGATTTCTGCTTTGTAACCAGCCAATAAATTCACAGAAGGAGACGTGACGTAAACGTAATGTAAAACTCAAACTTCATACCTTTTTTTTAAAAACATTGTGCTACTGAAATTATGAACATACATCATCTAGAAGATGAAAAATATTTAAATCCTTCATTTTGTTAAGCATGCAGTTGGTTTCAGCGTCGCTCCAAAAGCACTTCACTTATTTCCTTGACCGCCGCCTTTTCGCTCATGCGCAGACTGAGAAATCCGAAAGAAATCAGAGTAAGAGTTTACGTGCTCTGAGAAATCTGATTACTGAGCTTAAATCCAGCTCTCTTTGTCGGATTTCTTAATCAGATTTCTAGACCTTACTCCGATCTTAGAAATCGGAGTATGCTGCTTACATGACCATTTGAATAATCAGATAACTGCAGAAATTATTAATTATTGAGCGCATGTAAACACACTCAGTGTCACAGAAAACATTGTTTTCACCTGGGCAGTCACTGTTATAGTCCGACAGATGCCAACTTTTTGTCACAGATATGGATGTCATTTTTAAGGGACTAAAAATGATAAAATTGGTCAATATAAATGTTTACTTATATTTTAGATTTGAATCAATATAGTTTTGCAATCCTGGTTTCTGTTTATTGCCTCTTATTTTTCATTAGTAAAACTCACAAGAAGTGCAGTTTGTTATGAAAAATTCCTCACGGTAAAGGTTAGTTTAGCCTTTTTATTATTATAAATGTGTTTTGAGCTCAAATTCATTAATTCAACCTGTATTATTGTCACCTGTTTAAACAGGTGGCGACTCAAAGGAGGTTGTCTAAGGTTTCATCCCCTCATCAGGAGGTTATGGGTTCAAATTTATTGTTTTTGTTTTGGCAGATCGGAGTTGCAGTTTCACAATGTAAATGACATGAGCCAGTTCACCCGCGCTGTACTTGAATGCTGTTAATACATCCGAACCAAAATATTACATCATAATTCTGCACGGCTCACTGTGCTAAATAACCAGTTGTCTATAACCTCCAATGTAGCACTTTGATTCATGCCATTTAAACAGGCGACTGATTTAAAACTGAAACATTTGAAATGTCACTGTGCCTCACTGAAGAGCAAATAACGTTAATACTGCAAGTTAGGCCAACACAAAACAGCCCAAAAAGGCCAATTGGGCTGTAAAGAAAACAGAATCAGCCATAAAAATGTACTATCGGTGCATCTCTACTGATAATTTTCACTGTTACCGAATAAAAACACAGGCAATAAAAACAGACTTAAATGAGCAAAAACAGATCAACAACCTAACAAAATATTTTACTGGAAAAGATTTTAAAAAATGCATCATCATCATACAAACAGCTACCTAATCACTGCCCATTCACTGAAAAAGTCACTGCTAATGAATTATTGTTTATATGTATAGTTTAAGCGTTTAATTGTGACAGCCCTACTTTTCACACTGATCTCAGATCAGCCTGAGCTAAACCCAATCATCAATCATTGTGGTTGCCAATCAGAATAAACACTCACCCTCCTCTCGCAGCTGCTCCAGGTAAAGTTTGGCCAGTCGCAGCTTCTTCTCCTGAGGCGTCTCCTCGATCTCCTCATCCACCTCCTCGTTTCCTTTCCGTTTCCTGTTCGGTCCATCATCGCTGCTCATAGACAGAGGGGTACAGATGCAGTGTCACCTTATAGCTACCAGAGACCACCCAAACTGGAGAAAAGGGGCTCATTCACATGCTTACCCTTCGTTTTCTGACTCGCTGGATATTTCCTCATTCAGTCGTTTGTTGAAGCTTTTTGAACGTCCTTTTCCACCGATGTTATCACCCTATAAGTACCAAAGGCAAAGAGCATCAGTAAGTGCACTTAAGAGCTAAAACACATCAAAGAGCATTTCAAACTCCTGAATAATTCAGTCCTTCAGATGTAAGCGGAGACATTCAGAGTGGTTTGATGTGAAGTGGTTTATCGAAGAGACTCTTCACAATTTCTTTACGGTGGTGTTGATGATAACCACAATGTCTACAACACAAATACAGCCATATTATTTACTATCCAAACCACCAGTGAACCTACATGTGTCTTCTGAGTTTATATACGTCATGCTGATGATGGTAAAATAGTGGGCAATCTGAAAAGAGAGTTTTAGGGGGACTATTTTGCCTTAGAACACCCTAACAGTTACACATATCCCTCCATGAATAGCTGAAAATAAACTGATTAAAATATCCTTCAGGCATCAGTCACTGTATTCATAAGCATGTCATGTAATAATTTTCTGTGAGGGAGCTTTTAGAGGTGGCTGTCTGGTTCCTATCACCACCATTGTCAACAATTTCGAGTCTGTAAGTTTCTCTGGAACAGAGCATTTCCCACCAAACCACTCTGAACGACTTTGTTGACGTGTTAACCATTTAGTGAAGCTGGAATTCTGAGCACTCGGTGGAGTTCCCCTTTACTGCGTTAGCCTGGGCTGGATTAACAGCTGTAACTTAGTGTCAGTGCAGTAAAACGAGGGGAATAAAAGTGTTCAAGTGTTTGTAGTAAAGGCTGAAATTCGCAGATAACTCTCACCTTTCGCTTCTGACCGGCAGTCCTGTCTCCTTTACCCGGAGCCGCCGAGGCTGATTTCTTCTTAATGAAGAAAGACGACATGATGAACCGCAGCGCACAGTTCACTTCTGTTCTTCACTAAATATATATTTTATTCTCTATTCGACTCGTTTAGTTCAATATTTTAAACCCACATGGGGGACTTGCACATGTAGCTTCCCCACTTTCTTCGTGCTCGCTGTTATAAGTATAAGTTGTCTCACTATCGCCCCCTGCAGCAGCGGAGAGTCGCTTCCCTCCCCTGAACAGCCTAAACAGCGTTTAAAGGGGAATTCCACCCATTTTTCAAAATTTCAGCATAATTCATTAGTTAAGACGTGAAAGTCAAGTGGTTTGGTGTGAAATTATTAAGTGTAGAGACTCAGTGGTGATGATAGGAACCAGGGGTTACAATGACTACAACACAAATACCATTTTATTTACTATCCAAAAAAAAAAAATGTTTTCTTTGGGGACTATTTTGCCTCACAATGCCCTGCATGTCACAAATAAATAAAAATAATTGGATCAACAAGATGTTTTAGGACAAAAAACATTATTGCAAAACTATTTTAAAACAATGTCTCAGGCGTCAGGCAGCGTATTCATCATCATTTCATGTGATACCTTTCTGTGAGGGAGCTTTTAGAGGTGGACGTCTGGTTCCTATCACCACCACTAGTTTCTCTAGAACGGAGCATTTCACACCAAAAAACTCAGAATGACTTTGTTTACATCTTAATCATTTAGACAGCAGCCTGACTGGGAGAGCATCAGACTGGACAATGTGTGCCTGTCACTGCCCCACACTGAGTGAGAGTGCGTGTATAAAGCACTTTGTGGGGACCAAAAATGTCCCCGGGTGACTGAAAGAGTTTTAGTTTTATATTATTTGATAAATACTCAGAACAATATATAATATTAATAAAATTACTGTGCAAAAGTCAGAAACCAGCCTTCATTGAATGTAATTTCTAGTTACAAATGATGCATTTTTGTCAGTTTCTCAAAGAAATCTGCAGACACACCTCCAAAGTTCAGTCTTAGAAGCTGGTTTTGCATTTTCTGCTCCTCACAATCTGAGTAATCTTAACACATTCAGTGATGTTCACATTCAGTCCACTGTTCTGAGAACATCAGCAGCTTCTTTGTTTATTAAGTGACGTGTGACTTATTTTCCTTTGTCTTTCTTATATCAGGCATGTCAAACCAGGGACCTTCTGGGCCAAAGTGCTGCGGAGATCAGCATTTACACTCATCTAATGCTCTGAATTCAGTTCATGAAGGCCTTGATCATTAGCTGATGCGCTGAATCAGGTGTGTTTAATGAGGCAGTGTGCTGAAGTCTGCAGTGCTTTGGCCCGCAAGGACTGGAGCCTGACACATGTATCTTGGATATATATATACATAATATGTTCCAAGTATCTAAATGTTATGTTTGTCATAAAATATTAAATTGTATTATACATTTAAAAGAGTTTAATCCATGTTTTCAACAATCTAAAAATTAATTGCAGATAAAGGTTGTAATATTTCAATCAACAGTTATTGCTGTATATAAAGTAACAAAAAATAAAAAAATTTGAGAGTCAGTATATACCAGTATATATTATGATGAGACTGTATACATGTAAAGAATATAGCTGTTTAAAAAAAATATATTTTTTTTTACAGTCATTATTATTATTGTTATTGTTGTTGTTGCTGTTGTTGTTGTTATCACTACTACTACTACTATGTTACCATTATCGTCATTACATATAAAACTCAGTAGACACGTGTAGGTTCACTGGTCATTTTGCATAGTAAAAAGTCTATATTTGTGTCGTAGTCATGGTGACCCCTATCACCCTCCTATCACCACCACTGTAAAGAAATCTGAGTCAGTAAGTTTCTCTACAGTAAACTGTCTCAGATCAAACCCCTCTGAATGACTTTGTTTATATCTCAACCACTGAACTATCCACGAATTTTGAAAATTAATTGAAGAACCCCTTTAGGACAAACTCATACAGAAAGAACAAACACCCCACAAACGCAGAAATACAAACCAGTGAGAGAGAGTGTGAGTGGGCGGGGTTTAGAGAGGGCATCTTCTCTTGCTCACATGAATATGTGATTGACTGTTGCCATGGGTTACTTGCACCCCCACCACACACCCGGGCCAGCTGTTCTCTCCCTCTCCCTCTCCCTCTCTCTTTCTCTCTCTCTCTCTCTCTCTCTCTCTCTCGTCCCACTCCAGCAGCAGAGCATCTCTGCTGCCGCTCACCTGCTGCATCTAACCCACTGCTCTTTCCTGAGGGGTGATAAACGCAGAGATAACAGTGATAAACAGCCGCTGTTGAATCTCCACACAGATCTATGTGTCTGAAACCAAAAACATCTCAGCGGTCAGCAGGATAGAGCTGGATAACACAGATGCACATCTGGCCATAAGACGCTTTCACAGGGATTGGAGATTTGGGACTTTCACTGACAACCCAGTTCACCTCTGTCCCCCGAGCTGGACACCAGGTAAGAGTTATTCAAAAATTCACTATTATTTTATTCTCATATTTATTAGTGCAGTTTCCAGAGTGCATATGACTCTGCGCCGACTTTGTGATGTACAGAGTTTGCTTTATTTAAATATATATATAAATGACATATATATATATATATATATATATATATATATATATATATATATATATATATGTCATTTGTATATATTTGCAAAATGTCTTTTTTAACTTTTTTACTGTTACTATTTTTCTGCATCATTTGAGCACAGCAGCTCTCCATCATGCTTAATTAAATTAATGGAATAAATCAATGGAAGTCCAACATTACTAGGAAAAAAATCATTATATTGAATCATAAAAGTAAATGAAAAGTAAAGTTACCATTTTTGCAACGATGTGAATAACATATTACATTGATATAATTAATGCCAAAAGTAAGTAAACTGAGAGGTAAAGTAGTGTTGATGTTTTATTTATGTGGAAATTATGCACAGATCTGAATCCAGTTATTGAATCCTGTTTTTTTTTTCCATGTGCACTTTTAAAGGAATACCTTCAGCAGCTGCCCATAGGCTTCTATTACAAGCGTGTTTTGAGAAAACACGTTTTCTGTTCTTTTCTAAGTTTGGGGAAACGTGTCGGAGTTAGTGTCTGTGGTAATCGACCGAGTGCTACAGATAAAGCATATATAGATATGGTTGAAAAATGTTGGAATATTCCTTTAAGAGCATAATATTTTATACTTAATTGAAATTCATTTTAAATATAGCCCTGGTAAAGTTGTCTCGCATTAATAATTTAATCATATCTTAAATTTCACTGTAGCAGAGATGTTGTCAGTGTCATGTCAAAACCTCCTATTTCAGAAATAGTAACTTTACAGAAGGAGGTAAAAATGTGCTTAACTTTGAGTGGAACTTAATGGGACATTTTTTTTCAAGTAATCTGTGGATCATTTCTTTTTGCTCTATTCTTCATGAAATTACTAACAATATGTAAATTACCACTGCTCTGCTTTGGTTGCCATGTATTGTGCCTCATTCAAAAAGCAGTCCAGGCTGAAACACTCCTTATAACTTCACTGTGAGTGGGCGGAGCTAAAATACAGTAGGTTTAATAGACCAAATCAGACTGTATGTAAACATAATGGTTTGCTTTACTTCTGAATGGAACTTGCATCCAGTTAGCATGAAAGCAGCTCAATTTACAGCACAATTTACAATAAATTCAAAGATAACAGACAAAGCGTTGGCAGTTACAGCACATCTTACTTTGTTTGAGTCTGTCCTGTCAAATGTACCCAAGTATGTAATACATTTTACTGACATTTTTCCCATTTTCCAGCTTCCTAATGCAAGTAGAGCTACTCCACAGCTAAAGCTAACAGATGTAGGCTAGCAAATTATTCACTCTTCTAGCTGATGATGAAGTTTTAAGCAGTGTTACATCAACAATAAGAGCCCCATAATGTAAACTAGAGCTTTGTAGAGAGTTTGCCATAAGGTGATGCTAGTGAAGAAGCTAACGCTATCAGCGTTTATGCTAATGGCCACAGGATTAGCATTTTCACTCATATTTTTAAAGTAAACAAAGAAAAATCGACATTCTGTTTGATTCTACACCTGATTTTGTGTAAAGGTAGACATTTGTGTGAGTTTGTGTGCAGAACAGTGCTGTCTCTAATTGTATATTAGCCAAAGAGAAGCTAACTAGCAAAGAAGGTAGCGAATTAGCCAAATTAGCTGTTTTAGAGTGACATAAAACGGTAAATCATTAGTTGTGGTTAATATGATGGTTCCAGCTTTCTGAGCATTTGGAAAATGAACTAGAACCGTAAGTTGGTTCATATTTGGGTCAGTTCTTGTTTTTGAATGTACAATGGAAAGTGAACCCTTTAAAAAATCTCTGCAGTAAGGTAAAGGTATGGCTGGTAAATGTCCATGATTATATAATAAAATTAACCACACAAAGTCATTAAGTTATTGATCAGTTTAATGTAACTTTATGTCAAATAAATATAGCAATCACACGTCAATATACAGTTTACATTCTCATTCACTTACTGGTAATATAAAGGTGTTTAATTGCCAACTAAGGACTGGCTAAATTGTCGTTAGCTTCAGCTGTAGCTAAGTGTTACCAAAGACAGAAGATCCTTCAGATTAAGAGATTAAAAGCCTGAAAACTGAAATAAACGTAAGCAAAATCCATTACAGTTGACATTGCGGCCTCAAACATTCTGCTGCTATCTCCAATGTTTTGTCTATTATATTTGAATTTACTATAAACTGAGCTGGTTCCATGATCACTGGACACAAATCTTGACGTTGATTATATTTGTGACTGAATACTTGTGGTGAATACTGAGGCTGATGGTGAGAATGTGTCTAATAAGGGAGTGGAGATCAGTTTCAGTCAAAGATTTCGTTCAATTGGATTGAATCATTTCCTAAAGAACCATAAACAAAGTGAATCACTGCGAGGTCAGCGGTTTAAGTAGAGGTGAAGAGTTTGTATGTTTGGTCAGGCAGTGGTGTTTACTCTCCGTCCTCATTAGGGACTCCGCTGGACACACAGCATGTTTCATTAACATCCATTAACCTCACACAAGCGCAGGTGTGTGTCATAATCCACACACACACACACACACACACACTGTTTACTCAGCGCTGAGCTTTCCGCTGTGTGTAATTCATGAGTGCAGTTTTGCGCACGTGAAATGACCTTTTTTCTCACCGCGATGGTTTGCTTCACTTATTATGGCTTTATTACTTTTATTATGGCTGCATTTACAACCTGTGTAGTATTATTCAGTATCTTCCCTTCATTACAGCATCCTCTCTTAAGGGGCCCATATGATAGAAAACCTAATTTTCTTCACTTTTTTAAGTCTGATGTAGTGTGTAAACATTGGTTCAGTCCTCAGTGTTTGCAGTCCATATGTGGAACTTAAACTGCAAAAACAGCTTGTTTTAAATTCATCATTTTTGTGATGTCACAAAAGCCAGTTCATTTACAAATCAGCAATAATTGACAAAAACAAATAACTTTCTTTAGATGGATAACGCTGCACTGCTACAACAGTGCTCTGGGCTAATTCTGAGTTATTTAACCAAGATATTGAAAAAACAGAAAGCTATCCCAGATAGCAAGAGGATAGTGGGCCACTGTTGGCCCTCTGACGGTAAAGCTGGCTGCCCACTGGCTTTTTGCTCAGCATTTTCCGGTTGGCCTACTGGTGGTTAAGCAGAGTGTTGGACAAAATGCCACTTTTAGTCACTCATTTTCCACTCACAGCCCAATTTACTTGTTTTGCTTCATTTCTTTCTTTCATTATCTTTTATAAATTAGTTTACTAAATAATTTTAACAGCAATATTATAAATAAAGCTGGTTATGCAGCTCTATCCAAACTAGTACCATGTCAACAAAATCTATTTATATGAGGCCTATTCATGTTTTTTCTCAATTGTTTGTGATACTTGTCACATTTTATTTTCCAAAATAAAAGGCTCTGGATTTAAAATATGTTTGAGAATTAGACTTTGTATGCAGGACAATAATCTGGATGGTCCGAGGGTGGCCCGAGGGTGGACCAGCAGCGGCATATGGTTAGCAGGGTGCCGACCTTATTGACTGATATATGCTCGCTATACTCCATCTTAGTCTTATAGATGTTCCAATATGTTATAAAAAAATAATTCTGTTATTAAGAGGAAATAAAAGTATTGATGTCACTACCAAGGACTGTTTTTATCATTTACCCAAAAATATAAATATACTTCATACTCCAGAACAGATCTGTGATGAATCAATGATTTTAAGAAATCAGGATGATCTTATATAACGGTCATAAACTCAAATAGCGCTGTGCCCTGTTTGCATTAATAACCATAACATGCCAAACTCAGTCCAGCACAGCAGATTACTGCACACACATGTAAAAACATGTCACATGGACACTGAGAGTAAATGGACACAGGATTCCGGGAAACTGGAGTGTGTTTTGCCAGCATTCTGTAAAGCTTGTCCAACCTCCTACTAAAGAACAGGTCTGTGGGCAGAGCATGAATAATTCATAAAGAAATTAAGTCATTTAATGTCAGCATATTTTCAGTCTGTAAGTCAAACATCCTGCTTAGTTCATTTTCCCATTTGTTCCTATGGACCAGGGGTGTCAAGCTGTGATCCCTCCAGGCCGCAGCTCTGCAGAGTTTATCATCCTTCCTCAGTAAACACCCCTGATTCAGCTCATCAGCTAATTAGCAAGGCTACCAGGAGTTGATCTTTGACCATGATTCAGTCTATGAGGTGTAGAGCACTATGGTGCCAAGTTTTACAGGACTCAAATGTGTACATCATTTCCACAAGAAAAAAAAAATTGTTACTGTTGGAACAAAGCCACTGTAAGAAATGATACCTCAGCAAATAAACATACCTTATGTCTAGTCAATGTATCTAATACTGCTCATTTTGAGGTGGTTATAAACTTATTATAAGATTATTTAACTTAAATTCCAAAAATTTCCAAAGGTTTTATTTTGACAGTGTTAATAAATAATTCAGTCTTTAGGTTTACCTTCTGGCAATAACTGTGTACAGTATGTTTTATTCATGATGTGCACATTTAAATCAAGCAGAAAGAACCCGCAGAGCCTTATGGGGCCTGTGGGTATCTGTGAAAAAAAAATTTGATTTTTTGTTATGTTTATTTAATATAGTCCTAATTATTTAGAATTACTCTGCAAATACTAAAGTAATACTCTTACTTCATTACCTTGTAGTTAGAAACAAACTATATTCTTGAAATCAGGATTTTCTTCTCTGTAGTAGATACAGCCGAGTGAGCTCTCTCATTGGTTAGGACTTCAGGAGCTGAACAGAAGGCCTTACGCATTAGTTTAACATGACTTTGACATAATTAGGAAATGTAAAACTGCTACACACAAGGTAAAACATTTGTAAAGGCTTGTACCTTAAAATGTCATTTATAAGCTTCAAACGTCTGTGTTTAATCTAGAATGGCCATATAATGTTCATGTGAATTGCCGTTAGCTTAGTGCTAATCTACTACAAGAAATCCCATAGGGGTGCTAACAAAAATTAGCATTATTAAACTAAAGAAAAAGAAGTACTAAACTGTCACTGGGGTGGTTCTCTTTATGTCACTGGGTGGTACTCTCAAGGGTACATCTTTTATTATTTTTAATAAATTTTTTTTTTTTTAATTTAAAAAATATGATTTTTATTTCCACTTTTTAAAAAATAATCTCTTCCTTCATCGCTTTGGCAACAGTTGTTAATTGCAATTTATGTCAATAAAGCTACTTAAAATTAAAAATTGACAAATTTACAGTAACAACTTTGATGAAGGATGATCTGGTGATTAAACTGTACTTTTACCTAGACAATCTCTTCTACTGTGTTTGAGTTATTACAGCGTATTTTATGCGTATGTTTTTACACTGAAGTGACGCTGTGTTTCTGTTGCATTGTCAGTGAGGAGCGATCGCTGACAGTCTGAAGCTCTGATTGTTGATTTAGAGGAGTGTGTGTGTGTGTGTGTGTGTGTGTGAGTGAAAGCGTGTGGGAGTATGTTTGTGTGTGAGCGCGTGGGTGGTGTGTGTGCGTGTGAGTGTTTGGTGGGGTGCAGGTGACAGTGACCTCACTGTAATGCTAATGCAGCTCACAACACAAAACCTCCCACAGCTGCAGCAAAACAAGCAGCCTCATTATATACTGCCCAATACAGAGAGAGAGCGAGAGAGAGAGAAACAGAAAAAGAGTGAGAGAGAAAGGCAGAGAGAGTGTGAGAGAGACAGAAAGAGATACAGAGAGTGAGAGAAAGAGAGTCAGAGAGAGAGGGAGGGATAGAGAGACATAGAGAGAGAGAAAGAGAGAGGGAGAGCGACAGAGAGAGAGAAGGGAAAGAGAGCAGAAAGAAAAAGGGAGAGAGAGACAGGAGAGAGAGAGAGAGCAGGGAAAGGGAGAGGGGGGGAGAGAATGAGGGAGAGACATAGACAGAGAGACAAAAAGAGAGGGAGGGAGAGAGAGAGACAGAGAGAGACAGTGAGAGAGAAGGAAAAGAGAGAGAGAGAGAGACAGAGAGAGAAAGAGGGAGAGAGGGAGGGAGAGAACATCATGAATAATTCTTACTGATCAAAACTCCCACTCTTAGTATCACAAGTACCAAACTCATAACTTCTCATCCATGCAAGACAAATATTAGATCAACGACTGACTGAGTGAGAAATATGTTGATTTTAAAATGAAGTATCTCATCTAGTATCTAAATCAAGTGTCTCTAACTCCTCAAAGTTTATGGCAAGTTCGAATGTAAAAAGATGAATGTTAGGACAGACTTGATAAGGACTCACATAACTGGTCCACGTTTTCATCAGCAGACCTGACCTGTCAGCTGCAGACTGAGGAATCAGTGCGCCCCCTGGTGGAGGATGGAGGAGACTGCGACCCTGACCCGTACTGTGAGGATCTGAGTGCTAAACGATGGAAGCGTCCGGATTGCCTCAGAGCACTGAACTCAACGAGGCGGAGCTCAACCACACGCTGGAGCATGGCCCTGGCCCCCACGTGCACCTTCCTCCCAGCATGCAGCTGGGCACCATGTCCAACCCTCAGTCCCGCCTGCGGGACCTGACCGGGCTGGTCGCCATGGTGACGCTGAACGCCTTGGCCCTCTTCGCCAATGCTGCAGTGCTGGCTGTAGTGCTGAAAGCTCCTCACCTGAGGAAGTTCAGCTTCGTGGGCCACCTGTGCGCCGTGGACCTGCTGTGCGCTGCCCTCCTCATGCCGCTGGCCATCGTGTGCGGCTCTCCGCTTTTCGCCGGTGTCATTTTCTCCGTCCTGGAGTGTCGCCTCTATGTCTTCCTCAACGCCTTCCTCATCTCGGCCTCCATCTTCACCGTGACGGTCATCAGCGTGGAGCGCTACTACTACATCGTGCACCCTATGCGCTATGAGGCCAAGATGACCCCACGGCTGGCCACCATTGCCATGGTGCTGGTCTGGGTGGCGGCCGCCCTCCTCGGGCTGGCCACCGTCTTTGGCTGGCCCGACTATGGCCAGCGGAGCTCCATCGCCGCTGTCCACTGCTCTCTGCACTGGAGCCACAGTGGCCACCGACGCGTCTTCTCCATCCTCTTCTGTGTGGTCTGCTTCTGTGTGCCGGCCGCTATCATCCTGGCCGTCTATGGAAACGTCTACAAGGTGCTGTTACAAACATATAGTGGACAAATACAATGTTCATACACATGGGAACCCTCTGAGCCTTCTCGGTCTAGAAGGCCTAATGATTAGGAATGATTAAACACATTCATTTTCATTTAATGTAATCATCATGTTTGTATTTAAACTCTGCAAATAGTGCATCAGTACTCTTAATTAATTATTAAGTTTTGGTCGGAAACAAAAGGGTTAAATTCTTAAAATGCCCAAAGTAAAACTGTCCAATCACGCTCTCCCATTGGTTAGGACTTGAGGAGCTGAACAGAAGGCCTTACACGTTAGATTAACCACCACCATTATTTGGAATTGACAATGGAGTCAACCGATCACGTTTTTGACTTACAGCAGGTGGGAAAAACACTCTAGGCCTTCTGGAAGCTCTAGATACATCACTGGCTGTGAATGCAAGCCATACTCTAGTTAGGTTCCAGTGAGTTGTTAGAAATGGAAGAGCCAGGGCTCTTTATTAAAAGTCACTGTAGAACCGCTGCGTACTAGGTAAAATGTATGTTAACATAACAAGCTTTAAACTAACATAGAATGTCTTTTACAATCTTCAAATGTTCATGTTTAATCTAGAACGACCAAAAATATTCATGTGAATTGCTGTTAGCTTAGCGCTATCACACTAATAGAATCTGATAGGGGCGCTATCAGAAATTAGCATTATCATAGAGGTGTTTTTTCTTATGTTTTGACAGAGTTTTGACTTTTATGGCTTGAACTGAAGGCCTAGCTCTATTAGTCACCACTACTTCACCACTAGGGAACTTCTTATAGAAATTGCGTCTCACAGTGGCAAGCTTTTCAGGAGTAAAGCAAAACTGATAAATGATTTTACAATGATTTGATTATTGTTATTCAAAATGTAATTTGAAATTCAAATTTCATCACAATTTGATTTGATACAACACCATATAAATGTTACTGGAGAGTCTATTTAAACAGTAGTGGAATACAACTAGAAAAGAACTAGAAGGGAAAGTTTGCGAACAAACAAAGTTGGCTTGACAAAGCCGTTGCTATGGAGCCCCAGGTGGTTGCTAGGCAACTGCTACGTTATTCCACGTGGTTGCTAAGGTGGTGCTAGGTCATTGCTACTGTATCCCAGGTAGTTGCTAAGATGTTGCTAAGCCATTTCCACAGTATCCCAAGTGGTTGCTAAGGTGTTGCTAAGCCATTGCTATGTCATCCCAGGTGGTTGCTAAGGTGTTGCTAAGCCATTGCCACTGCATCCTAAATGGTTGCCAAGGTGTTGCTAGGTTATTGCTCTGTTATCTCAGGTGGTTGCTAAGGTGTTGCTAAGCCATTGCTATGGTATCCCAAGTGGTTGCTAGTATGTGTGCACTGATGCATTTTAACATGTCTATTGTCTAATGTTAGCTTAACTGTTTATTTATTTATGTATTTCTGAATCAATTTGTCTGATGCTTGCTGGGGTCTATGGTGCAAGACGTTCTGTGACAACAGAGAATAAAGTATTATTTTATCCTCTCTTATCTTAAGGTGGCCCACATGGCAGCCCGGCAGAGGGGACCCCTGCCCAGCTGGGTGACAGCAACACCTCGACCAAAACGACGCTCCGACTCCGTCAACAGCCAGACCACCATCATCACCACCAGCTCAAGTGCCAGAAGGGGTGCCCATGCCCCCCGTCGGCCCAGGAGGGCGCTAGTGGGCGGCAAAGCAGCCCTCACCCTGGCCGTCATCGTGGGTCAGTTCGTCCTCTGCTGGCTGCCCTACTTTGCTTTCCACCTGCACCTGTCGCTGGGCTTTTCCCACAGCACTTCAGACGAGGCCGAGGGTCCTGTGACATGGCTGGCGTACTCCTCCTTCACTGTGAACCCGTTTTTTTATGGTTTGTTGAACCGGCAGATCAGGGAGGAGCTGTGTAAAATGATGTGTTGCTGCCGCTCTCCAGGCAGACCAGTGCGACCCCCCACAGCCTCCGGACATGAGCCTTCGGCCCACGAGGACTTTCTGCACTTCCTGAACCGGAGTAGCTCTGCAGATGGTACAAGGACCAGTTACCACACAGTGACCCCCAGAACCACACTGGACCAAACCGGCTTTAGGATACCAGGACAAATCCCTGAAGAAGTAACTTAGGCTGTGATTATACTCATTGAAATCTGAACTGTTCAAACTGGATTCAAATGTGAACTGTCCAAATCATATTTCCATTCTTGCAACATGGGCAAACTATTTTATTTAAGATCCCTGAAGAGGTCAGGGATAGATCACTGAAGAGGCCACATAGGCTGTGATTAGACCGAATCATACCTGAATTGATCAAATTTGATTAAAATCTAAAGATTTCTAAAGTCTTTCTAATCTGAAGATTTTAATCAAATCCAGATCTGAATCGTTCACATTGGTTTTAAATCTGAAGTATTCAAATCAGAATTAAATCTGAAGTGGTCAAATCAGAACTGAATCTGAAGTGTTTAGATCAGTTTTAAATCTCAAAAATTCAAAGTACATTCAAATCTGAAGTGTTCAAATCAATGTTCAAATCAGATTCAAATATGTGAATATAAGTGGTTAAATCAAATTAAAATCTGAATTGTTCAAATGTAAATCCCAAATATTTAAACTGGATTGAGATCTTAAATGTTCAAATCAGGTTCAAACCTAAACTGTTTCAAACTAGGTTAAATTCTGAAGCATTTCGATTGGTTTCTAATCTCAAATCTTCAAATCAAATTATAGTCTTAAATGTTAAAATCAGGTTCAAACCTAAAAATTTGTTTTTTCAAATCAGTTTCAAATGTTTCAAATTTTTCAAATGTTACATTTGGATTGAAATCTGAAGCGTTCAAACTGAATTAAAATGTGAAGTGCTTAAATCAGAATCAATCTGAAATATTCAAACTGGATTGAATTCTGAAGTGTTCAAATCAATTTCAAAATCTTTTCAAACTGGGTTCAGATCTAAAGTATTCAAACTGAATTGAAATCCTTAATGTCAAATTGGATTCAAGTCTAAAAACCCCAAATCAGATTAAAACATAGTAACATAGTAAGATTATCTTGCTTGGGTTAACTTTTGAGAAACCCAGTGAACGTCCCTAACAGAACCGAAAAAATGGACATTGTATGTTTATACTTGAAGAAAAAGGTTCATCCTGAATATGTGAAAAATCTGGTTTTGTTGGTGCGTCTGAACAATGACCAAACCAGATTTTGGGCACATGGATGATAAATATTAATTATATTTTTCATAACTTTTTTCACTCCATGTTCAAATTCTGATTTCCAGCTTTTTCAGAAAGTGATCAGATGCCAAAAGTGGATCTTATCAGACAAATCTGATCAAATGAAGAAGAATGTTTGTCCTGTCCGCTGGATCAGCATCCTGTCTGTAGGCATGATTTTGGCATGTGATACTTTGTTAAAATAATTGAGTAGATTCAGAAATAAACAAAAGCTTTTAGGAGACGAGAAATGAGAAATTAGATTTCTGTTGTCTAATTTTCTAATTTTAATGAATTAATTCACATTCACATTGACCTATGTGAAGTAATGTGAATTACTGTTTAAGGCTGTCTAAACTCAAAAATAAATACTCAGGGCAGTTTGTTTTGGGAGCGTCTGATGCTACAGCTTGAGATAGAATACAGGATTGTTTGAATTGCTGTCATCAGGTTTTTTCACACTGAGTTAATGAAAATGAAATGAAATCGTTAAACACTCAGCGCAGTTCGTAACAGGATGCCTTCACTTACAGCCTTAACAAACATCTGACTGATTGTCCAGCTTGTGTTAGGTCAGTAATCTATCAGTCTCCCCTGTTATTTATGTTAACATGTAACATATTTCATATTTTGCTACAATTCTGAAAGAATTCTTTGTTCATCATTTCACTGTTTGTCTCATTTTTCATAACAGCACAATAACATATACAATACTGTGCAACAGTCGTTTGTTTAATTTCCAGTCAAAGCAGCCATCAAGCACAAGCTATTCACTTTCATAAGCTATTTCTAAGAAGATAATCTACTTGCATGAGGAAAATAAGTGAAAAAACAGGAAAAAGTGAAAAATTTAGAAAAATTGTGAGAAGAAGAAAATGCAACTTCCAAGACTGAACTTTGGAGGTGTGGCTGCAGATTTCTTTGCAAAACTGAAAGTGAGTCTCCTGAAAAGAATAAAGGTAAATAATGGACACATATGGACAATATTAAAAAATATCTAATATTTTAATAATAAAATAATATATTTATAATAAAATACTTTATTTAATTTAAGTAGTTATTTAAATTAAGTAGATGTTAGCTTGAAGCTGAAAAATGAATGAATTTGGCTGTTTTGACTGGAAATTTAATGCATGACATTTACACAGTACAGTATATGGTCATTTTTATAGTAATGTTTATGAATAATATTTTAACATATATACGTTTTTGACCAAGAAACACTTTTGCTATCAGACGTTTGACTTTTGTGTACATAATCGGGTCTGTATTTATTGTGCGAAACGATGTTTATTCAGGAAACTCAAATGCTCCGTCACTTGTTTCTGACGCTTTTACTGCAACAATCAATTCTGAAATGAAGCTAAGCTCTTTTGTTTCATTGCTGAATAAAAACCTCCCTGTGAAGAAATGTGACGTCGTCTCTGCAGTGTGTTACACATTGAGTTTCTTTGTTTGGAGGGGATAGTTAGAAATGGAGTAGGTCAGAGGCTGGACAGCTCCTCTGTTGACTAATGCGCCTGCTAGCCGTTAACTTGCCTCGTCGTTGCTCAGTGCGCTCTCTCTTTGGCCTTCACTCTGCTGTCTATACGTCACGTTGGTCCCACTGTACATCACAATGCTTTACTTGTTAATGAATTGTACTGTGGAGAAGACTCAGTTGACGACTTCACTGTTTCATCATGTGAAGTCAAAGTACAACTTGTGTCAGTTATACATTTAGGAGAATTCGCTGGGTTTAAAGAGACACTCTGGTCAAAATGAAATCTTTAGCCATCACTACGTCTTTTCTACACATGCTTACTCGCATCCTACAGTGGTGCAGAGTCATCTCCAGAGTGAGATTTTCCACTTTAAAGACTAGAAAACCCCCCGTCTCATGACGCATCTTGAAGGTTGGAAAGCTACAGCTGCTTCAGTGTGAACGCAGAAGGAAGACAGATGGCTAATGCTAGTGCTAGGAAGCCAAATATCTCATTTCAGCCCTGAATATGTCATTGCATATGTACAGTTAAAATAATTCTACAATGTAAATTGAATGTGGATCACAACAACACTAACTACAGAGGGTTAAAGAACCCATATCATAATAAATATAAGAATTTTCCTCACTTTTTTAAGACTTTCGTGTAGTGTGTAAACATATTTTCAAAATTTGCCATTCATTTCACAGTCTATACAGTCCATGTATGGAAACTAAGATGCATAAAAAGCCCATTTTAATTAATTCAACATTCATGTTAACATGTAACATATTCCATATATACTTTTGTTTCATTTCCGGTCAAAACAGCCATCAAACACAAGCTATTCACTTTTCAGGAGATACTTCTAAGACGATAATCCACTTGCATAAAGAAAACAAGTTAAAAAACAGAAAAAAGTGAAAAAAAAAAAACTGAAAAATTATGAGAAGCAGAAAATGCAACCAATTTCTAAGACTGAACTTTGGAGGCGTGGCTGCAAGATTTCTGTGAAAAACTGAAAGTGAGTCTCCTGAAAAGAAGTTGTGAAATATGTAAAGGGCCTACATCATAATAAAAATAATAATTTTCCTCATTTTTTAAGACTTGTAGTGTGTAAACACATTTTCAAAATTCACCATTCATTTTAGTCTTTACAGTCCATACGTGGAAGTAAAGACTCAAAGAAAGCCTATTTTAATTCATTGAACTTGTGATGTCACAAAAACAACACATTTACATATATCCACCTATTCAGCCTACAGCAGTTTAGCCCCACCCCCACCAAAATGGAGAGAATGGATGACTCAAATGACAGGAAAAACTCATCAGATGAGGAAAGCAACAAGCTAAAAGCTAAAGTTAGCAAAGATAGCTGGATATCTAGATATGTTACCTGAGTTTGGCTTCTTTTCTCTGGCCGAAAGGGTAAAAACATGTTAAGGCAGATTGGTTGACACCACGGGGATTCCCAAGGTCCCAAGGGTTGTATTATGTATTTGCATAATGCATGAAAATGATATAAAATCATGAATTTTGTCAAACTGATGAGGCTGAGCGACGTCATGCTGCACTACAGCACAACAAATTACATATTAAACTACACTTTTAGGCTAGAATGACCTTTCAAAAGGATATTTTTTCAATTTATTTATTTATTTATTTATTTATTTATTTATTTATTCTTTCTCTTACTGTCCACTTATGATATGTACTTTTTTATGCTCCCAAAACAGCCTTAAATCATATTTACATGACCCCTTTCCAATCTCTGTCCTTAGAATCCCCTCAAACACTTTTTTTGTTTTTTAATGTACTTTTAAAACTGATATATGTAAATGAGCTCTGTTCTGATTGGCTGCCCTGTACTGTGCCTCATACAAAAAGCAGTCCGAGCTGAAACACCCCTTGTAACTTCAGTTTGAATGGGTGGGGCTAAACTGCTGTAGTTTGTGGTTATATGTAAATGTGTTGTTTTTTGTGACATCACAAATACAATGAACTAAAATGGGCTTTTTTATGTGTCTTAGTTTCCATATATGGACTGTGAAAACTGGGAAATGAGCTGTAACTTTTAAAACATAACATGTTTACACACTAAATGATGCTCTTGAAATAAATAAAATGAAAATAAATTTTAAGTGGGTAAAATTCTGATTTTTATTATCATATGGGCCCTTTAACCTTTAGAAATCTGTAGATGTTTTGTTATACATTCCATTTACCTTACATAATTATTGTAAATGTACATATTTAACTACATATTTACACGACGAGGTACATTTACATTAGTGTTAAATTGTGTATTAAAAGTTTTGCACTGCTTTGATGCCAAATAATGACTTTCTTTCCACAAATAAGATCATACACATCAAATTCAAATCATAACATGATATTCCCATATATGAAACACAACTTGACACCGAATGTAAATCGGACACAAACGTAATTCATTACGTAACTAACTAAATAAACAATTATGTAATTACATTTAAACAGTTATGCAATGTGAACTGAATGTAAAGCAAAAAAAGACCCCTAA